TTTACCAACGGCAAAATATTCACACGAGTTCAAAACAGATAGTGAAAAAACTCTTTTCGTCATTTCATCAAACAGGAACTGGGCAAAGGAAAAAATGGGGATTTTAGACGACAACCTGAAAGCAATGAATCTGAATCCGGAGGACCCGAACCCTGCGAGACAAGGAAACAGAAGAACATGCATTCGCCTGAGAACATTAAAGCTTTTGATGATTATAAATGAATTCGATTCTTTTTTTTTTTTCTTTACCGTGGAATCGGTTTTGTGTAGCTCCGGACGCGACATTTTCGTAGCTAGAGACATTTTGGGACGCCGGCGATGAGTTATTCACATGCAGTGGCGGAAGACAATTTTAAATGGCGCCATTTTTTCGAATTTATCCGAATTCGAATTTCCCGGGTCTGATTGCGTTTCTTTTCGAGTGCGTTCCGTATTTTATAGTCCCATTTTTATATACACTAGTATGTGGCCGTGCGATGCACGGGTAAATAATATTAAATAATAATTATAAATTGAAGATATAAGTAAATAATATGTATTCGCTTAGGATTTTGAGTGCCACTTTGAGATTTTTTCAAATTTGAGACTTTTAAGATGGTCAAATTTTAGAGGAATACTATAAAATTTTAAGTGTGAATGTGAGATTTAGAGTGAAAATTTGTATAATGTTTTTTTCTTTTAAATCATAACTAATCTTAAAAAGACTTAACAAATCTTGATCTCAAATAAGTTAAATATTTAAGGATATTTTAAGATTTTATTTTAATTTTTAAATATCAAAGATGAACTGCTTTTGTTACCAAAAAATGTCGACACAATTTTGAATGTACATCTCGTCTAAATATCAGTTCTATTCTAAAATAAAAATTGCACGTGGTTTTATCCAATTTACACATTTTTTTTTTGAAAAAAAAATAGTCAATAAGATTGGAAAAATTAGTTAAGAATTATACAACTATTTGTTTCCAAAATTTGTATCCAATTTGTATGGTTTTTAAGTTAATTTGTATTTAGAATTGTTTTCATAAATAATTGACACATTCTTTGCATAAGAATCTCTAAATTTGTTACCAAAAAATATATGATTTAAATTTTTGTAAAAAAAATAAAATATGATACGAAAAAAATGGGGTTCAAATTTTGCCATATGAATCTCCAAATTAGTTACCAAAAAAATAGGATTTTTATTTTGTTACTAAAGATTCACATGTATTTTTTTGAACTTTCCATTAATAGTATATCAACATTATATTTAATTGGTCAAGCTTTCTATTAATGAATTTTTCCAACAACCTCTTTATATATATATATAGATAGATATAGATATAGATATTCATGCAATTTAATTTTGATTTTTGATCTATTTTTACATGGCTACTAATGTACAGATGCAAATAAAATTTTATATGTTACATGTGTGTATATAATATGTGAAATCATAAGTTAGATAATGGACATATCACATTTTATAAACATTATCATTAGTAAAAACGAACTATATAAATAAAAACTATTAACTTACATATTAATCTTTATACCGATTGCAATAATATATTTTTTGCATTCTTTGTTGATGATGAATAATTTATTAAATAAAACAATATTGAAATTATTTTTATAGCAATTGTGTACGAATTTTTAAAAGGTGTGGTTATATCATAAAAAAAACTTGCTCGTTTGAAAAAAAAAAAAAATTAGATTAGAGTATCATTTAATGCGACTTTATGCTTTGTTAGTAGTAGGTGTTCTATAATGAAATAAATTAAAAATTTATATACTTAATTAATGTAAAAGTAACGAAAAATAGAGGGAAAACTTGAATAGTTTTATTAAATTTGTTGCTAGCAATTATATATATATATTAAGAAAATGGAGTTGGCAAATTTAGGAGGGATTGTATAGGATATAGCCCAAACACTTCCTCTTCTTCAAGCTGCATTTCTTCATTTTATTATTTTCTAACTATGCTTCACTATATGATTTAAATCTTATTTATGAATGTAGATGTATTTTTTATGTGTAAATTGTAATACAAATGTCAAATCAACTACATAATAAAATACTAATAAGAAATTAAGTCTTGGAATATATAATTTAAATTAATGAAGTACACAATTTTAAATGTCAGAATAAAAAAGTCTATTATACAGTAAAATTCGATATGTAAAAGTATAAAAATAAAAAATCTACGTATACAATTAAGAAATGCCAAAAATTCCACTTATATTAAAAAAGTTTTCCTTTATATATAAAAAGATCCGCACTTTTCCTTCCAAAGCATAACACATTTTCTTAAATTTATTTCCAATCCAAAGTCTATCAACATTTTTGCAAGTTGAAGATGTTCTGCAATTGCAAGTCAAGAAAATTATGTTGGTGTAGTCCGCGTCGCATCATAACAAATAGCAATCGCCACACAAGTAACAGAACAAGACGCATACACTATTCTACAACAAGTGTAACTGGACAATTCCTCATTATAGTCACTGTAGACAAGATGGCTTTACACTTCACTCTTCTCCCATAGCCAATTCCAATGCATAGTCATCTCTTTCCTGAGATGGGAAATAGGAAAACAAAATGGTTGAAAAGTTTTAGTATCAGTTCTAAAAGGCAAACCTAAAATATCATATTAAGTAGGAAAAATTGCATATAAAGGCACCACCTTTAACTCTTTAAGGTTTTTGCAATTTGATCACCACATTTTGCTATTTACGTTTAAATCACGACATTTCAATGTTTTGCAGATCGAAGCATAAATTTAACTTTCGTTAGATTGGAGCTGACTTGGCAGTTGGCACAAACGGAAAGTCTAACGGAAGTTAAATTTATGCTTCGATCTGCAAAACATATGAAAGGAAGATGGTGATTTAAACGCAAATAGCAAAAGATGGTAACTAAATTGCAAATGTCTTAAGGGTGATGCCTTTATATGCAATTTTGCCTTGATAAAAACTTACAATTGGCCCTCGAGCAAAATATCTTCCAAACTGCAGCCAGTACACCTGCATACCAATTTGATTTTGAGTCCTTTCAGCTATACTTCCGTGTACGAAAACGTGACAAAATCTTCGAAAAGAACCCTTTAGTAGGAAAAAATTGCTCTTGACGTGCTAGCTACTATGCCAACAAGACCTGGGTGGTTTATTCGAGATACATATAGGATTAATAGAAATTGGGTATAAAAAGATCAGCTTTTGCACCACCATAACCTCATATGAACAGTTAGAAGTCTGAAAACAGAAGCCCTAATTCATACAAACAACAAAAAACTAGACACTCGTGTCAAGGCCACGCATAATCCCCTTTTTTGTCAGGACATGTGGAAAGTAAGCTTGATGATCACATACAAACATAATTAAGTTCATATGCATTTGAAAGGGGAAGATATACATATTATTATATTGCATTGTACCTCATCCTCGTCCTGTGTTTCAACCTCAAGGTCAGATGATGGGAAGCCCACACACAGAAGTGCATATCCCTATAACTCAGACAGAACAAACTTGTTTGTGAAATTTCAGTAATTCAAGGGATTGGTAAAGAATAAAGGAGTACAGAGTCTGAAGGACAGGTAGCATTATAAATTGGGAGCACATTTCAATTACTATTTCTGGAAAAGAAACAGAATTTAATCGAATAAAGGCAAGTTCAAATGAGGTGACAACATTCCAACAGTTAAATTTTATGCATTTGGATTTCGAATGTACAAACAGTTGATAAGTTGCACCTCTATACCTCAACTGAAAGCATGAATCTCCTTCGCAGAAGACTCTACTTCCAAACTTTAGATAATACATGCAAGAATAACGAATAATTAAGTAACTACTAAAAGAAGATCGTATTTACGGATTCAGGGAGATTTTGGGATCGAGGTCGGTAGACCTATCGATCTACTCGCTTTTTTTTGGATATACATCAACTATCATTTCAGAAAAGAAAGGGAGATATTGGGATCTGGATTCATTGCCTTTAGATACTTATTTTCTTGCTTCTTTTATCATTACCTTTTACAACTATCAGTTTAATATACATGTAGGATCTCTAGTAGAGACAGAGTAGGCAGCAACAATCAATCAGATTGTATGTGGGCTTAAATCTTCAGGTTGCTATTTATTATTAAATGAAATTTTATATTTCATTCCCTTCAGTTTTTTCCTCCAAAATTCAAATTCACAATTATGGAGGCCGCGCCATTGATGTCTAAATTTTGTACATAATGATTTTAGTTAGAAATACCAAGTAGATAACAGTTGATACCATGGCTACAATATCAACACACCTTGAATTAATCTACTTCGCTGGAATGGTTTAACAACGGGTTTACTAAATTTATGTGCCGGCAAGATCTTGATTGTTGATTTTAATGATAATGTGAATAGTAAAGTAGTGAATGCTCCCATGCGTACTATCACTTTCAATAACCCATTCTCTAAGCCATTCGGGCTACATAGCATGGCCCTTTCAACTTAATATGGTATTACAAAGTTGAAGATTTACTGTGTTCAGAATTTTGTAGTTTACCTGGGATTTCAATTCAGCAGATATTCCTAGTGCTTCTGGCTGTCTGAGTTCTCCAGACTTTACACGGACAGCACAGCTAGTACAGCAGCCTGCAAGACCGAGTCAACTTCAGATAACATAAAGCTCTCGAAAATCTTGAGCAGGCACATAAACCACTTCTAAATAAATATTCCATCCTGCTGCAGCTAGTAGAAATATTCAGTCAGAGGGTTTAACCATTGCAATGGGCTGGTTTGCTTGCAAAAACAGTTCTAAAGTAAAATGTTCCCACAAAAAATTAAAATAAAAAAAATAATCCCACTGGTGCATTATTAGCTAAACCCTGAGAAATCTATTTTAGTAAGTAATCATGTAGAATGACAATAAGTTACTTTTAACATAAACTTGTGGCCACTTCAAATTCACAGACCAGGTTCGGAACATGACTGTTCTGAATCGTGGAAATTCTCAACCTTTGTTGAACAGTTTGGTATAGGAATAGCTGATTTACAACTGGCAATCACCAATTAAACAATAAACTACAAGGTACTTAATAACATACACAGACAAGACAATTATATATAGAAACTAACATACATGAAAATAGAAAGACAAGAGTCTCAACATGTTCTCACTGTGAGACCACTAGTTTAGTTAAGCATATGCAAATTGAAGAACAACAGCCTGCTTTGATATTACGCTCACCTGATTAAAATAATTGTAGTGGTTTAAGAATCTGAGAAACAACTGCCATTTCAGATATCTAAAGCAGAATTCAAGATATTCCCAGCTTTTCCCCATATAAACAACTTGAAAGACATTAAAACAGTTGAAGAATAGATCAGTACCGTGCCTGCAAGCAAAGGGCAGAGTTATATTCTGATCCTCCGCCGTGTGCAATATATATTGATCCTACAACTCATCATATCTTAAGCTTGATGATCAGCCCAACAAAAAAAAGAAAAGAAAAAAGCTTCACACAAACAACGAATGCATAAAAAAAATGAAATGAAATGTGAGTATACTACCTCGGGCACGAGAAATTCATGGACAACACCACGCTGACGATCGTGCACAGTGACCTTGTGGGTCGGGATAGAGGCCGGCTGTGGGGCCCGGCTAGCCGCAACAGGCATTTGGAGCTCTGAAATCATTTTACGACGAATTTTGATGCTTCTTCTGGGAAATGATTGCCCAGGCACGGCTTGTTTCCGGTTAATCCCAATGCAGGCATTACATGGGGTTTGAAGGTCCATCGAGCACTTTCTTCTTCTTCTTCTTCCTCCCTATGCTGTAACCACAGTATGAGACATCAACTAGAATTTGCTACAATCTAACTATAGGAGGAAAAATCAAACAACTATTTAAATCCGAATTGAACATTCACTAAATCAAGTAGAACTAGAAGTAAAATCATTCAAAACATACAGCAAATATTAGGTTACTAAAGCCAGCGCCCAGCAGCACACGAGCTTGGAGACTTGGACAATGAAAAAATGCCCAAATTTAACATATTCCGAAATCGAATTGAAGTACTAAGCAAATCGATAGAGCTAACAAAATGGCTAAATAAGGAAGAAAAACAAGAAGAAGTGCAAATAGGAGAACAGGGAACGAGTGAAACCCAGATGAGCGTGCATTATAATGGATGCATTAAAATGGCTTGCCACAAATAAGCTTAAGATATGTAAACCAAATGGCAAGTGAGTACTGCAAATGCATAAAGATAGAGGGATTTACCAGAAACAGAAGATGGCAGTAGCAATCGAAGGCTCGAAGCTTGTGGATAGATAGAATAGACTATAAAGATGGAGAATGTGATTATGTGAACGACAAAACAGGTGCACAACAGTCAAAGTGCAAGGATATTCACATAAACAATAAATTATAAATCGCTCAAATATTAAAATAATGCACCTTTTATCAAATAAAATAGTTTATAGTTTATTTTGTTAATTTATAAATTTATTGTATTTAAACAAGTTTCGTTTGGTACGATGAGTTTTTTTATAAAGCTCGACTCGAGTATCTCATAAGCTTGTTTTAGTATCTTTTCAAATAAATTCGTCGAAATTTTTATTCCAATTAACTTATCAGCTAATTTTTTTTTTTAAAAGAGGTCAATAGTATTCTCACTTCCCTCCTTGGACTCAAACCCATGACACCAAACATTTTTTATCATATAAGCTAGTTTTTCAGCTATAAGTCATAAATTATAAGCTATAAGCTCGAAAATCACTTTATAATTTATATAATTTAGCATATCAACTATCAGCTAGTTTTACAAAACAAAACATAAGTCAATTTAAATTTATTAAAAATTACAGAAATTTGATTTTAATAATATACAAAAAAAATAATCATTAACCCTCTATGAACCTAATTCCTTTTGTTTCGCTTTCCTCGGCGGGGCCGCCAGGCACTTGACAGGGGTCGCCCCCCTAGCTGTGCGACTCGACCCTAATTTGCATCGGGCCTATTTTCTTTGTGCGATGGAGATGGTTGACCGAGCCTAAGTGGATCTCAGCTTTTCTCCCCGGTTGCCATCAAGGACGGTGGTCGCCGATTTCCATGGCGTCGAAGGCAGCGACTGGTTGTGGTGTTCTTGCGGGGGCGAATCTAGGTTCCGTATGTTGTGTGTCTGTGTTGGGGCGGAGGCGATCGGATGTTCTCCGCCTTGTCCTCTTCTCCTCTGGTGTTAGCGATAAAAGGACGACCGACATTTCGGGCCAGGGCCATGGTGTGGGTTGGATTCGAAGCGGCGGTGGTGTGGTGGGGGATTTGCTCGTTGATCTTCAGGTGAGGGTTGGTTTTGGCCGCTCGAGTGCGGAGTCGGGTCTGGGTTTCGAATCTGGTTAGGCGTGTGTTGCAGTTTTTGGGTTTGGAATTCGGGTCGTGGTCCGGTCCGGTTTGGTGGTCGACCGTGGGTGTCACTGTCATGTTTCGCCTGTTGTGGTTGTTCTGCTGTAGGAAGGGCTTTAGTCAATTATTTTGCTTTAGTTTTTGTTTGTCCCATTTTTGTTGCGTTTTTCGTTGTTGTTTTGGCTTTCTTTTTTCCCCGTTCTAGGTATTTTCTTTCGTTTTTAATTTGTTTGTGTTTTGCTGCGTGCTTTTCTTTATTTTGGGGTTTTCTGTGTTTTCGTTTGTGTTTCTTTGTTTTTTCAGTTTTTCTTTTCGTTTTTGGTGTGCAGGTCGGGAACTTCGGGTGGATATGATTTCATGAATAAATTGTCCATGCAAGCATAATTAACTAGAAAGGTTCGTTAGTGACGCGTAGGACAAAACGACACTCAATTTTGAGTTCGGACGAGCTCAAACGGACTTAAAATGCAAAGTCGCGCAGCCCAGTCCCTAGCAGCGCTGGGAAAGGCCTAGTGACCCCCTAGCAACCCCAAAGAGTTCCAGCGTCCCAGACCTTAGCCGCGCTAAGGGGCCTAGCGCCGCTAACCCCTGCGCGACTAGATTTTTATAAATCTCAGTTTTACTCGATTTTTCAAGCACCTTTCACTGGCCATTGGGACTCGTTCCCAATACTAGAAAAACACCTCCATAACATATTTTATGAGTTTTTCCACCCAAGAACATAATCTTGGATCTTGGTTTTCATTTCCATTTCACGCTTGTTTTCGGATTAAGCTTTTATCTTGGATTCGACTTTCATTCCCATTTTAATCGTAAGTTCTTCTATTCATTTAATTGAAGAGTGAAATTGCTTGGGTTAATATGTTTGATTGTGTTGAACTTAATATACATACATAGCAATTCGACTGCTAGGGATAGGGGATAATTGTTCTTGTTCGTTCGTATTTGTTGGGCTTTGATTTGTTCATTCTCATGCAAGTTGATTTGAAAAGGATTGTAATTTCTTGCTTGAAAGTTGAATATAATTGAAGAGTGACACTTCAATCTTGCAATTTGGTCCAATTGGATATTGATCTTTCGAGATTGGGTTTTCGATTCTAAGCGATTAGTCGACTAATTATCTTCTAATTTAATTAAGCAACTTTTAGAACTGAAAGGGGATAAGTTGTAGACCTAGGCTCGCATTAGATAAATGATTTCGTAAAAGAATAGTCTATAGGTTTTGGGTTGAAATACATACTCGTCTACGTCCTTTTTCTTGTTACGTGAGTTATTGGGACCGGACCCTAGACCGATGTTGTATGCTTGAACTTGTTCATCTACGTTCAGTCCATTGTTACGAAAAGTTATTGGGAGCGAAATGCTAGATGTTTAAGCAAGAGTATCAATCTTGAACCGAACAATTACTTCCCCAGTTTTGAGTTTAGAATCATAATAAATTATCTCCGATTCCGTAGCTTCCTTATCAGTGATTAATTCATGTTCTTGAGTTGATTTATAATTTTTGCGTTTTCTAATATTTCTTAATTGATAGTTCAAATCTCCTTCCTGAATTACAGTGTTTATGTTTTATTTTCTTTTTGTGTGTGATCAACACTGAATCTGGATTCCGGACGACCTTCCTCGAGAGATCGACCCGAGGTCGGGAGTCATCTCGTACTCAGTAAATATATAATTTGCTACAACAAATTTGGCGCCAATGGGGTCTGCGACCGAGTTCTGCGAATAATCTCCTTGAATTGCTCCAAGTGAACTACATCGACCTGCCACTGAGGTAAAAAATAAATTCAACAAAACCAAACCAAGTAGAAACCATCGACTGCTGCCGAGGTCTGCGGATAAGATTCGTGAATTGCACCAAGTGAACTCCATTGACTTGCCACTGAGGTCAAAAAATAAATTCAACAAAACCAAATCAAGTAGAAACAATCGACCTGCTATCGAGGTCTGCGGATAAGCTTCGTGAATTGCACCAAGTGAACTCAATCGACATGCCACTGAGGTCAAAAAATAAATCCAACAAAACAAGCTAAGTAAAACCATCGACCTGCCACTGAGGTCTGCGAACAATCTCCATGAACTGAACCGAGTGAACTTCATCGACTTGCCACTAAGGTCAAAAAATAAATGCAACAAAACCAAACTAAGTAGAAACCATCGACCCGCCACCGAGGCCTGTGGATAAGCTCCGTGAATTGCACCAAGTGAACTTCATCGACCTGACACTGAGGTCAAAAAATAAATCCAACAAAATCAAGCCAAGTAAAAACTATCGACCTGCTCGAAGCATTCGCCCTCCATGTCTTTAATGACCCAACACTAGGATCAACCATCCAGCCCGAAGACCTTGATTAGGTCTTTAAAAGTATTTTAAAAGAAAAAACTCTTATTCAATAAAAAATATTGAGATGGTATATCTACCACAAAACAAAACTTCCATTTTTAAAGTGAAAAAATCATCTAACTAGCTCCGATATATAATATACAAATCAATTATGAAAAAAATGTTCATATAAATATAAAAATATTACTTTTAATCTATATCTATACTTATATTAAAGGGGGTACTATTTACTAAATGTAGTATGTAGAATAGTCAACCCTAATTAATGATTTGCTATTTTTATCAATCATTTAATTAATGCATCTAATATTTTTGGTATGCAAATCAAATTAGTATTTAATTAGTTCCTAAAATATTGGGTATGCAATATTAATTTAGGAATATCTATGTAGTTCCTAAAATGTAGGTATGCAATACGTAAATGAAGATTTTTTTATTTTTTTTAAATATAAAATATTGCAACACTTACAACTATTCCAGTTATTTTTTTATTTTATTTTACATATCAAATTTAATCAATATTTAATGCATCTGGATTTAGTTTAATTCTCCATACAATTGGTTGTAACTTTTTCAGTTGTACTTTTTTTATTTATTTATTTTACACTTTTAAATTAACGAAGCTTTCCGAAAATACCAAATCAAATGATTTATGAAAGTTTTTTTTTTACAATTTTAAATCTATATACTCAGCTTAAAAAACTCATCGCATGGACGAGTTTAAGAAAACTTCATAACCCAGCTTATAAAATTCCATCTCCACGAGTAAAAAAAAATCACATCCCTCATCTATCGTAACAACTTTAAACGTAAATAAATAAAAGTCTAATTACTACTATAAATCCATTATCTATATAGATTTTTTAAAAATGTAAATTTCACCTGTCTCATTACTAATATTTTAGATACTTTTAAATATTATTTTTATAATTTTCTTTTACACATTTGCTCTCTCTCTCTCTCTCTATATATATATATATACATATATGAAGGTTAAATGAAGAATTTTTAGACATATTTTCCTTACGGGTAGTTTAGAAAAATTTAGGTAGCTTCAAACATTATTTGTGAATAATATAGAATATTTTAGATGCTTTTATAGATGTTATAAAATATTTTAAGTATTTTCAAATATTTTAAGTATTTTTAATATTTATATATCACACTTAAAAAGAATATTTTGCCAAAAAAAAAAAACATTAAATACACATTGTAAATGTTAATAAAAACAGTTTTCAGTATTCATCTTTGATTTTGTCAAAACAAATCTTATAAAATCGGTGACGTCAAAATTTGTACGTAAAGTCTATCTATACTAAAAAAAGGTAGATTCAAAATTCTTCGTTAAATTTCTTTTCTTCCTTATCTAATTCATTCTTATTATCTAATTGTATAAAAATCTGTTCTGATTTTGTGTAATCCTCTAATTGTATTTGTATCATATCCGATAAAATCGGTTTAACAAAAAAAATCTCATAACATCCGATAAGTAAAAAAAATACGTAAAATCTTTATTAAAATAAAAAGGCTTTATTTATTATCTAATTGTATGGAAATCTGTTCTGATTTTATATTACGTACTACAAATTGTGCACCCGTGTTCAGGAGCTACTTAACCGGCAAGCTATGTGGAAATAACTCATTTA